TTGTTCATTTCTGGTATCATTTGTAGGCTTTTGCTGCTTCTGAAATTCATCTGGATGATCAAGAGGAACAGTAGGGAAAAGTGCTTTTAAAGTGACAAAGCTCTATGCAAGGTGACATTGTTATGGTATTTGGTGCTAAAAAGAATATAACTTTCTCAAGGTTTCATGACCATCCACTACAGCTCAGAGGCAGTCCCTGACAAAATAAATAACCCATTTAGCAATGCACCTTTCTTGGTTTTGGCACATCCTGATTTAAATAGCAAATAATCACCCTAGATCACTCATATATTGTTGGCATTGATGGGTTTCATTGGCTTAGTGCTCAGTATTTGGCCAGGAACAGTGGGTACATGTGGGTAAGAAGAACTGTCTTCCCCTTCAGTTAATGATGAAATTGTCTTGTGCTCTCCTCCTGTCACAGAGCACTAGCCTGACCGGGGAGCATTGTGATACACTGGCTTTCTGGATTACTTTCCTTCCCTGCTTTTATACAAGGATTTGTGTCTGGTGCAAAAGAGAACTTAACTTTTAAAGGTTATCATGTGTTCTGACATTGGATTGCCTCTCTTCAACTGCTGGCTTGATTGCCTTTGAACTGTGCTGTGTGACCTTGCCCGAGTCCCTTTAACACCTCTGGATTTCAAGTTTTCCTCTTTTCTGTAAAGACAAAAGTGTACCACTTTTTAACCTCAGGGTTGAAGTGAAATTTAAATTAAACAATATAGTTAAGGCAGTTATCATTGGTACCTAGTGCTCAATGAGAAAAGTAGCATTTGCAGGGGTTTGCTTGAACTTGCATTTCAGATTTGTCAGGCACTGATGGTCTTGGTCAAATCCATTGGGAGACTGAATGTCATGCTGTCTTCAGAGACCATTTAACTACTTCTTTTACAATTTGGATGCTTTTTATTTCTTTCACCTAATTGTTCTGGTTAGGACTTCCTTTACTGTGTTGAGTAGAAGTGGTGGCAGTTAAGCCATTCTTCTTTTGTTTCCTTATTAGCTTCACGAGTATGGTATCAGCTGTCGCTGGTTGGTACAAGCTTTTATTATTCCTTCTGCACCTATTTTGTTGAGAGTCAGTATGGAAGTATATTGATTTTTACCAATGCTTTTTATGCATTTATTAAAATAATCATGATTTTCATCCTTTATTCTGTATAATATTCATTGATTTGTGTATGTTGAACCATCCTTATGTCTCAGAGATGAATCTTACACCATAATCATGGTTTATGATTTTTTAAAAAGGATTTTTCTATTTATGTCTATCAGTGATATTGGCTGGAATTTTTCTTTTCTTGGAACATTCTTACCTGTCATTTGGTATGAGCCTAATGCTGGCTTCATGAATTGAGTTGGGAAAAGGTCTCCCCTTTTCATTTCTGTGGAAGAGTTTGAAAACAGTTGGTATTGAATTCAGTAAAGTTGACATATACAAAATCAACATACAAAAATGAATTATGAAAAATCAGTTGCATTTTATACACTAACAATTATTAGAAAAAGAATTTTTAAAAGATCCCATTTATAGAAGTACGAAAAAGAATAAAATGGTTAAGAATAAATTTTACCAAGGAGGTAAGAAGTATGTATACTGAAAATTATAAGATTGCTGAGAGAATGAAAAAAGATATAAATGGCAAGATATTTGTGTTACAGAAGAATCAATACTATCAAACTATCCATATTTTTCAATGTGATCTACAGACTCAGGCAGTCTCTACCAAAATTCCAATGGCATTTTCCACAAAAATAGAAAAAAACCCTTAAATTTTGTATGGAACCACAAAGGATCCAAATAGATAAAACAATTTTGAGCAAGAAAAACAAAGCTTGATTAGTCACATTTCCCAACCAATCTACAGTACAAAGCTATAGTAATCCAAGTGGTATGGGTCTGGCATAAAAAGAGACACAATAGAACAGAATAGAGCATCCAGAAATTAACACATGCATATGTGGTTAAGGCACCAGATATACACAATGGGGAAAGGAGGGTTCTTCAATAAAAGGTGCTGGAAAAAATGGATAGCCATCTACAAAAGAATGAAATTGGATTTTTGTTTTATACTGTGTACAAACAATAACTCAAAATGGATCAAAGGCTTAAATGTGTGACCTAACGAAAACTTTTAAAAGAAAATATAGTGGCAAAGTTCCTTTACATTGGTGTTAGCGATCTTTTTTTCTTTTTAAATAGGAGTCCTAAAGCACAGGCAACAAAAGCAAAAAGTGAAAGTGTAGCAAGCTAAAAGGTTTCTGTAAAGAAAACAATCAACAAAATGAAGAGGCAGCCTACAGGATGGGAGAAAATATTTGCAAACTGTATTTCTGTGAGGGGTTCATATCCAAAATATACAAGGATCTCAAAAAAAAAAAACTTAACAGCAAAAATGAAAAATCTAATTAAAAATAGGCAAAGGACCTGAATAGATATTTTCCCCCCAAAAAACATGCAGATGTCCAACAGGCATGTGATATGGTGCTGGATATCACTAATCATCCTAGTAGATATTGCCTCACACTTGCTAGGGTGGCTATTCTCACACAGGTGAGAGAGAAAACAAGTATTTGTGAGAATGTGGAGGGAATGGAGTTATAAGTTGGTATAGACCTCATGGAAAAGAGTAGAAATTTCTCAAAACATCAAACCATCATGATGCAGCAGTCCCATGTTTGGACACACATTCATAAGCTGTGAAATCATTATCTGTTTTTTTTTTTTGTTTCTTTGTTTGTGTGTGGTCCTAGGGATCTCACAGGGTCTCATACAAATGCTTGCCATTGAGTTATATCACTGTCCCTGACATCAATATTTTTAAGAGACATCTGCATTCTCATTTTCATTGCAGCGTTTTTCACACTATCTGAGAAATGGAAACAACCTCCCTGTCTGTCGAATTACGAATGGACAAAGAAAAAGTGGTACATATACACATTGGAACATTGAAAGAACATTGGAACATTAGAACATAAGAAAGGAATGCTGCCATTTGCAGCATTATGCTAAGTAGAACAAGCCAGGAACGGAAAGATAAATATGAAATGATTTCATACATACAGAGAGTCTAAAGACTTCTTAGAGGTAGAGAGTAGAATTATGGTTTCCAGGGACTGTGGAGTAGGATGACAAACAAGATGTTAGTCAAAAGGTATAAAACTTTAGTTGTAAGGGGAAGAAGTTCTGGAGAGCTAATGGGATGATAATGGATGAATTAATTTATTTCATTCTGGTGATTGTCACACAGTGTGTATGGATATCAAATCATCATGTTGTAACTGACTGTACACAACTTTACAAGTCACTATTTTCAAATTAAAAGAAAAACCCACTGGGGGCTGATTTCTATGTAAGTAAGTGTTACTGTTTCAAGAAAAATCAGGACAAATCCCTCTTGCCTTACTACTACCCTAGCCTCAGAGCGTGTTATACCAGCCCATGGGCTATGTTTAAAACTCAACCACAGTCCTTTTCACCTCTGTGGGAATCACCAGGCAAGACAATGGTTTCCTCTGCTTCTCTCCTATCCATATGAAAGCCCAGATGCCTGGGGTGCTATATTCTGCTTTATGGGCTTAAACATCTGTTATTTTGTTGATTGGATGCTAGGGAGATGTGAGTTTACAGGTAAGCCAAGCAGTCTAGAATATTCACATATGAGGAATATGAAGTAAGGCCAGGCCCTCCCACCATCATTGGCTCATACTAGTTGACTTGCACTGTTTGTTCATCACTCATTGGAATGGTCGGGAGAGATGAGCACCACATATGATGGGAATTTTTACTGATATTTACTTTGCTACTAACAAAGAGGATCCAACTTAACATTGTGTTTTCAGTACCCACCATTGTAACCTGTAACTAAAGTTGAGAACATAGTGACTGGCCCAAAGTTGGCAGTTTCTCACATGGATTCATGTTATCCTTGTCACATCCTGGGGTGAGGATCTATTTTTATCCATTTCTTAAATGATGGAAACTGAGGCTAAGAAAAGTTAACTAGGCTAAGGTTGTTTTTAAATATCTGTAAATTAGCACAGATAGATTCAAATACAGGCAGATTTGTCACAAAGCCTTAGTTCTCACCAACTATATTACAATCAGGTAGCCAACTGCAAAAAAGAAATGTTTTCTAGAGTATGTGGCTGATTGAATGTTTTATATTTACTTACCATGAAATAATTCTTAGCAGCCATATTTTTTTTGGTTTATTTATTCATTTATTCTATGTGGATACATTGTTTGGGTCATTTGTCCCCCTTACCCCCTGTTCCCTCCCTCTCCCCCACCCCCTCGCTTCCAGGCAGAACCTGTTCTGCCCTCTTCTCCAATTTTGTTGAAGAGAAGACAAAAGCAATAATAAGAAAGACATAGTGTTTTTGCTAGTTGAGATAAGGATAGTTATACAGAGATTCCTAGTGTTGCTTCCATGCATATCTGTATACAACCTGAATTGATTCATGTCTACCAGACCTCTTCACTACTTCCTGGTCACCTTCCCATAGTGACCTCTGTCATTTTAAGGTTATTGTATTAGCTCCTCTACAGTGGGCACACTTTCAAATTTTGGGTTTCCTACCTTTCCTTTTTCCTCCTGTATGTGTTCTCCCCTTAGCGTGTGACCCATGTCCAATAATATTACTGCATTTGTTTTAGGTCCAAAGTCTGCATGTGAGGGAGAACATAAGATTTTTGGCTTTCTGAGCCTGGCTAACTTCACTTAAGATGATGTTCTCCAGTTCTATCCATTTACTTGCGAATGACAAAATTCCATTGTTCTTTGTGGCTGAGTAAAATTCCATTGTGTATAAATACTACATTTTCTTACTCCATTCTTCAGTAGTAGGGCATCTTGGCTGTTTCCATAACTTGGCTATTGTGAATAGTGCTAGCAGCCATCTTGGAGTTTGTACTAATCCATGTTGAACTTTGTTTTATCCTTTGGTGGAGGAATAAACAATGTCACAAATACAATTTGGTCTTTCTTTTCCAGCTTCTGTCGTGATTCAGAAATGGTGGTGTCACATGAATCCTTGCTTGGAAGGAGAGGATTGTAGAGTGCTTCCTGATTACTCAGGTTGGTCCTGTAGCAGTGGCAATAAAGTCAAAACCACAAAGGCAAGTATAGACCAAATGGAACTCTAATTTACAACTGCACTACATTGCTCGCTTGGGGGGTTTTCTGTCTTGATTTTATTTTGCCATCCAGAGAACAACATTATTTTATGTTGATAAACCTGTTCAGGAAATGCTAGCCTGTGGTTTTAGCCTTTCAAGAAAGTCCATTTCCCTGTGTCACCCTGTGTGTCAGGTTTATAGAGCAGTGATTTGGTGAGTGAACTCTTATTTTGGGCAGGGGCACTAAATTCATTTCTGCTCCTTCATGAGCCCAATTCAAAGGAAAAGTTTCAGGGTTGACAGAGCAGTGTATCAAAACACCATGGCAAGAATCTACATACACATGATTTACTCAAGCAGAAATACCTGCTGCCTTAACCAAGATTTAGTGGTTGAAGACTCTTGTTCAAGTTTTACATGTCATCAGTTTCCTTCCCCATACTCCTCTTTCTTGTTCTCCCTGGGTTTGAAGGGGATCACTGGCTGCTCAGTTCTGCAGCTAGAAAGCAACTTCTTCATTACCTCCCCATATCCACTTGATAACTTTGTTCTTGGGATTTTTTTTTTATTACCAAATCCTTCTGTGACTCTGCATCCCCATACATGCATTCCAGTCCAGACTCTATCTGATTGCAATAACAATCTTTGTGAAATATCTCTTGTAAGCCAATCCACCCTAAAAGTCTTTTTTCAGTGGGTTCCTTTGGCTCTCTGGACCGTCATAGATAATCTGGCAAGCCACCTGCTCTTCATTCTTTCTCCTCCAAACCTCCTGGCCGTCCATTAGTCTCTCTGACCATAGTGCCTTTGCAATGGATGTTACCTCCACAAAATGTGCTTCCCTTCCTTCTTTTTAAGTTATCCATGATTTCTTCAGGGAATTCTTTCCTGAACATTTACAATGGATGCATTTTATGTGAATGGCTATGTTTATTTGCTTATTACCCACAGCTGTACAGTGAGGAAACTATGAAGTCAGGCCCCATGCTTGTTTTTGCTTTTCTTGGTAGTCCTACTGCCCACTGAATGCCTGAGTAACTAATACTTAAATGAAAGTTAATGACAGAGCTCATTCTGAGATGATTGAAATAGGGCAGACTGGAATGGAGTAACTCTTTGGTTCAGGATGCTTTCTGAGCTTTGGCCCTTGATGGAGTATAATATACAGTGATCAGCTTCTTGCCTGTCTTTGTTTTGCCCTTTTTGATTATTTCCAAATGCTACACATGAAAAGTTCTCATTCACTGAGGTCAAATGCAGGCCAGTTAGAACCAAACCTAAAGTGGGTATATAATATTTATGTAAATATAATGCTACTAGTATAATAAAAGATTAAAACCAAAATGAAAAATATAAAATAAAATTTTATACCCCAATCAACAGCATAGGAGGTCACTTGATTAGTTCCCTATTGTGTAGTTAAAATCATAATGTTAAAATCAAGACTATTTAACACTATGATTATCGATGAACTTGTCCTTATTAGTGACATTGTGATGTCTATGACAATGACCTAATACACAACCCTTCATGTCCTTAGGATCTACTTCGGTTCAAGTACTCACAAATCAAAAATATTCATGTAAATAAATGCATCTGTACTGAACTTGTACAGAATTTGTTGCTAGTACTCCTTAAATAATGCAGCATTTATATTACATTTGGAATAAGTAATGAAGAATAAATTAGACAGGAAGGTGTATGTTGATTACATGCAAATACTATGCTATTTTATAGAAGGGACTTGGGTGTCTGTGAGAGTTCTTGGAACCAGTCTTCCATGGCTACCAAGGAACAACTGTATGTTTTTACATCCAGGGCAGTGGAAGTCCATGGAGGCATTTGTTAACGTACCCAGGAGGTTAACACTCCTATTATCTCTACCGACTTCCCAACTAAGCCACTCCCAATAAGCTTCCAAGCTACGTAAACCCAGTGTACCTACTAAGCAAACCCTGCCTCCAGGCAATTTTATCTTGCATTGCGGCCCTTTCAGCCATTTTTTCTAAGTCCTTCTTAGATAAAATGATTCGAGTCTCCAGTGAGGTAGCTCTTACATTTATCTACGATAAAAATTTCTTTCATTATATTTCTTGTAGCTAAGGAATAACATTTTTGAAGATTGAATTTGTATTGATTTTTAGATATAAATGTAAAACAAACTTATGAGCAGAAGTCAACTGTATTCTAGAAAAGAATGTATCTGAGTAGTTCTCTTGGTAGAATGGCTCACTCTTTTTTTATGTGTAGTCAGACAGGACATTGGCAGGAAACAAACCTTTAGGGGCATTTTGGCTCCGTGTGTGGGAAATATAAGTTTGCTGTACCTAAATTCTCAATGGTAGTGACATTTAATTTAGTGCTTGGAAAAGTTGTAGAGCATAATAATACAGTTTTCCATGCTATCATGATACTTGGACTGCTTTTTTTCAGTTATATGCCACAGGAGAATAATCTCAAAGTCATAAAACATTGTTTCCTTTATTAATTCAAGTCAGTGTGACTTAAATTGCATAAAACATTTGTGTCTGGTAAGAACCATATACATACAGAGTAAATTCATTTGTGCAGCCCAGACTGACTTCTGTGGCATGTGTGATGTTCCAGAAGCTATGTGTTTCTCTGGAAGTCTGTGCTGATCTTATAAAACAGCAGCAGTTGTATAAAGGCAGAACAGGTCTCCTTCAAGGTATTAGCTATATAACAAAATAGTTTCTACTTTCCTTAAAGAGTCCATGCACAGAAGCATCAAAACACAGAAAGGCTAGAAAAGTCAGATCTTTGGCAGGAAGCCACCTGTGTCAGAATTTTATTTTCCATTTAAATGCAAATATGAAAAGAGGTAGCAGTCAACTTAAGGCATTAGTGGCCTAAGATGAAGGTAAGAAAAGGCACAATTCCCTAACCATTCATCTTTCCCAGGTATAAAAGATGAGCATCATGTTTATTCTACCTGTGAAGTGTTCATTGTCTCCAGGGAAGGTGCAGCCACTACTTTCCAGTGAGAAAGTCCTGCCTCAATTCTCCTTTTCCTAATTTAATTCTGAGTTTTGTTGCATTCTCTGGATTGAATACTTCTTCTCTTTTCATGTTGGCTGTCTTTTACCACCAAAGCCAAGCAGTCATTAGGACATTTTTGTTGTTTGTTAATAGAAGCAACTGTCATTGAATTCTGAGGATTTTTTGATTTTTAAAAAAAAATCCTCAGGGAGTTTTGCCCCTGAATGGACATTTTTGAGTTGTCACACACTGGGAGGGAGATGCTACTGGCATCTGAGTCAGTGCCAGGGATTTTATTAAGCACCCTATAAGTTCTGGGGACAGTCCCTTCAGCAAAGAGTTATCTGACCCCCAAATGACAGTAGGGAGTAGATTGAGAAACTGGTTTAGAGAATAGTGTATTCTTGTAGCATTTCTTTACATGTTCCTACCTGATTTTGTTCTTCAAATTTCCCATTGAGTTTGCATAATTTCCCAGTATTTCATTGGAAACACCAAGAGGGATGAGCTAAGAATGGAAGTAGCTCATACATATTTGTTAAAATCTCAGGAGACTTCAATTTTTCTGATAGACTATTATGATTATATTAACCTGAGACACACATTGGTAAGATCAGAGACAAAAATAGGGTCCTAATCACCAATAAATTGAACAGAAATTTTTAAGAAATGGAAACCGCAGTCCCCTCACCAAAAACATCTCAGGTGACCAACTCTTACTTAGTATCCTGTGCAGATGGCTCACTAATTGAGGCCTTTCTCTCTGTCTCTTAGAGTAGCACCCTGGGTCACTGTCATAATAATTTAATGGTTATCATGGCTATGGAACATGCATCATGGGGACTTGTTAAAAACATAGTCTTGGGCCCTACCTCTGGAATATTCAGTTTAATCTGGGATGAGGCTTAGAACACATGCTTTAAAATGTTGTTTTCAAGATGATTATAATAAATAGGTTATATGAGGATGGCACTAATCTAACTGAACTCCCATCTGTTGTCATCTTTAATGAGGTCATAGCCTGCCTCTTTTACCCACATTCCTCCCTGCTGAGAAACCACCAATGGGTCCTCATTGGTCACTGCTATACAGTATAATAATTTCGCATGGGTCTCCCTGTCGGTCAGCACATCAGCTACGTGCTTCCCTGTACTATATGCCCTTCTTCTAAAATTCCACTTGTTTTTCAAGGTCTAGCAGAGCTGATTCCTTCACCCTGAAGTCTTGAAATGCTCATGGTTCCCTGGGGCAGGGGAATGGAGGTTGTATTAGTAACCCCACATCCATCAAAACTTGAAAATAACAATGAATCTTCCATATAAAGGACACAGTAATTTTAAAAGAAAATAAATCTTAAAGTATCTTATCTCACTCACAGCATTGTTTTCCAAGATGAACTAGACATGAGGAATGAGGCACCTCACATAAGATACTTTTGAAAATTACAGTCCAGGTATAGATTGATACTTGGCTATAAGCACTATTAGGTTGTGTATATAGACATGATATATCCAGAAATGTAACCATAACAAAACCCAGCATGTCCCAAGTGCTAACCATGTGACAGGCACTGGACTCTGCAGGTTAACTCACATATTTCCTTCACTGTACCCAAAGGAGACAGTTACTTTTATCTATTGTTGTACAAGAAGAAAAGAAGGCAAAGAGAGACAATCTATCCCATTCCACAGCATGGTCAACTTCATTATCCAGATACTCATGATGAAGATCTTGGAGTTTCTTGGTTTTTCTTTTTCTTGCATCCTTATCCTTTTTGCTACAAGTTCTTGTGATGTGCCCTTTTATCACTTGGGTGAAAGTGATCTGTTTAAGTTGATGGTCTGGCCATGCATTCCTCTTCTCAGTCAGAGAAAGGCCAAGAGTTTCTGAAGTGGCCTGATACCCTCTTGTGTTTCCCTTTGCCTGTAACATTCTTCATCTAGAAAGACTTCCCTCACATCACTCCTTCATAGCCCTCTTCCCTCCCTGCCCAATATTTC